CCCATCCCAACCTGGACTAGAAATTTGGGTAGATATCTAATCTAGGTCCAGAATAAGGCCCTTAACTTAAGTCCTCCATGCCGGGCTTGGGCTGAAATCCTCAGTGAACTTTGGATTTTGTGAACCGAAGATGGAATATAGCTTTTACTATTACTCTTACCTAGTATTAAATACWGAAACCTTCAGTGAACTTGGGTTCTCGAGGCCTCTGTAAGCACCACTAATGAAAAACTGAAACCAAAACAAGATTGAGATTTGTTAACGAGTTTCATTCAATCTATTCTGAATATCATGGAGAGAGGGCAATAAGCAGTGTATTGGCTGTCGGAAGGTGGGCCAGATGGGCCGACTGTCCTTTTTTGGGCTCAGTTCCTTGGCACCTCCAAGCTCCAATACATTTGTAACATGGAAATTTGGGGTCGTCGAACCCTGATTTTGTGTAATTTTCTTCTGTTATTATTTWAAAAAAATCATGGGTCATTTTGTGCCTTTCTCCAATAATATATGTCTAGGTTAACTATTGTTGTTATTGCAGAACCCGCATAGAGTCCAAACTTCTGGTTAGGGAAGTAACTTGGGTCAGACTAGGTCCAACCAACAAAAAAAAAGGAAAAAGTTGGGTTGGGTTGATTCAGGTTAGGGTTAGGAAACCTGACTTAACTTTATATTGAATGTGTTGTATCGTATTTTTTAAACACCTGTTTTTGAGACCTCTATTTTTTATTTTATATATATATATATTCATTTTTGAAAAAAATAAAAAAAAATATAAAAGCACAAGGTTTTTGATACTGATACACCTCTGCCGATACACAGATGTATCGATACTTTGAACCTTGATTCAATGAAACCTGACGAGGGGTAATTTGGCCCGACGTGTTAGCACAAAGACATGTGGACCAACTTGATGATATGGATGACGATTCAGCATTCCCTGCCACCTCAGTAGGCTAGGTCAGCTCGGGTTCCTCGGGCACCTTGGCCAAGACCAAGGTTCGAGAAGCTTGTGATGGCCTGATCTGCCGAGGTGACATGTAGCCGACTTTTAGAAGCTACCTAACTGTCTTCGACCTCTCCGGAATCACACCACACGTCTGCAAGTCTTATCCTTATCCCGCCTAGATTAGACRGAATCGATAACCCTAATCAGCTCACACGAAGTCCAGCTCTAAGTGCGGAACGGACTCTTGGCAACGCGGGTCAGGGATCTCGGAGGTGTTACGTAAGATCTACGACAGTTTGCCTATATA